TTTAAAGTTTTCCCTACTTTGAATTACCTGGAGCCATGTCCTTACCGGGGCCAAGTCCCACTTACCCAAATGATTGATTTCTGACCGCAGATTTGGAAGATCAACGACCAGAAATTAAGGATCAGCCCAAGTGGGACTTGGCCCCCCGAATCCTCCATTTCTGAACAGTCTATTATGAAGATCAACGGCCAGAAATGAAGAATTCCGAGTCCGAGTCGGCCAAGTGGGACTTGGCCCTGGGGCCCATCAGGTAGGTGATGATAGCTCAGACTGTCGCCCTTCCTTTTATTTATTTATTTTTTTTCCTTTCTTTTTTCTATCTTATAAAGCGTGACAGCTTTGAGATGTCATAGTGACACTGACTGCCCCCTGGTCATTAAGAAATTTTGTTCATCTACTTCAGTCTTGGTTCGAGCTCCGGTGTGTTTTTTTCAACAGTTTGCCACTTGCGTGTTTATGATATTTACAATTAGCTCCCGAAAAAAAAAAAAAAAAAAAAAAATTACAATTAGTACCGAGAACTGGGCCCAGCAGCGTCCCTTACAATATTTCACAGCCCCAGGCTCGCTCTAGGCTACTCCGGCCGGTTGCAGGCCCAGGCTGCAGAAACAGAACCAAACCTCAGCCCTTCAGGGCAATACAAAGAGCAATACACAAAGGAAAACAAAACAAAACCCAGCCATTGAAAAAAAAAAAAACCCTGCCATTGACCCTATGATCCTACTGAGCTGCACAAGCGACAGAAAGGAAGTGACTGTCGCAGTTGTAACCTCAGACAAGCGTTCCACCGTTCCACCGACACTGCCACCAAAGGACGGCCCACACACTACGGCCCTAAAAACCCTACCTTCTTCCCCCGAATACGACGACCTACCGTGACTACCGTCATTATAGCTGTATTTAGACTGAAACATAACCCTAATACAGCTATAATGACCATACGTTGTATTGGGGGGAAGAAGGCAGCAACCATGCATTCCATAACATAAACAATCAAGTAGAGGCTCTCCCTTTTTAAGTTTCTGGTGTGGTCAATTTGGACCATTAAATTTTTTCTTATGCTTGTCAATGTTGTCATTCTTGGGGCCATGGTAACCTCCTCTGAGATGAACTTAAATGAAGCCACATTTGTGTCAGGAAAAGAGATAAAAAACTCTCAGACTGACAAAGTGCTGGTGGGGCAGGGCCAACATGCAGCCCTTAAAGTTTGTGAGGCACACCTATGCTTGCAGGTGTCCCCTCTGTATAGCCTGAGGAGTAGTGGTGGGTAGGTAGTGGAAGGAGAAAACAGAATTTGAGAGAGGAATATTGTGTAGTCAATAGATATATATATATATATATATATATATATATATATATCGCCCCTCGTTTGTTGTCCTCTTCTCCCTCTCTGCCTACGGTTTACCGGGCAGTTCTATTTGACGATATATCATATATATATCGGGTCAAACAGAGCTGCCCGGTAAACCGTAGGCAGAGAGGGAGAAGAGGACAACAAACGAGGGGCTGTATATATCCTGTGTATCGTTCCAATTCTAACGGACATCCAGAAAGATGCCCTTCTCGTTTCTTTTTTGTTTTTTCTTTAAGAAGAAGAAAATTGCACGGTGTAGATGCAGATTGACCAACTGGCCTGGCTGAGTGGGTGCATGTTGAAATACAGACCTGGGGCCAGGTCCCACCAGTAGCAGCCTTGAGTTTCCTCAGCGGATGAATCTGGACGGGCTTGAAGTTCTGGAGATGTGCATAAATTGCATTGAGTTTCCTCAACCGCACATCTCCACAAACACGTCCAGATGCACAAACACGTCCAGATGCACGGGTTGAGCTTTCTCAATGCTGCTACTGGGACTTGGCCCCTGCGGGCATACTCACACTAGGACTTTGTATATGACCATTTTTCTGGCCTGGCCACCATACACCTGACCCCAATAAGGTCCAGCGAGAAATGGAAAAAGTCCCCACTGTGTCACCACCGTTTGACATTGACTGGGACGCCACAACTAGACGGAGATCCAGCGGGTATATCATAGATACTAATAGGTTGCAGCTCTTCTGGAGACTGCTGTCTACTTTAAGCCACCAGTACTTGGCCCAGCTATTGATGCCGAGCCGGGAAACGCCCTGCGCGCCAAGTTCTGCCGAGCCGCCGCTGCAGATTATCTACTCTCTCTCTCTCTCTCTCTCTCTCTCTCTCTCTCTCTCTCTCTCTCTCTCTCTCTCTCTATATATATATATATATATATCGTCACAAACAGAACTGCCCGGTAAACCGTAGGCAGAGAGAGAGAAGAGGACAAC